TTTAATTCTTTATTGATCAAAAAATATAAGGAACACAACAATATGAATGTTAAATAAATTGATGATTCATATTCTTAAACTGGATATCCATCCAAATAAAAGTATAAATTTTTTTGTTTCTGCCCATCAAAATTTAGTCATTTTTTAAGTTGGAAAAAAATATTCGATGTGGATTTTGTTAGATAGATCTCGACAAGTACTATAATTTTCATGTATAACACGTTCTCTAATTCTTTACGAATCATGAGATATGGTCGTTTAAATATTAGAGATGTTTTTTGAAAGAAAGAGAAAAAAGTAATATAGACTAAATTTACAAAATATAGAAAAAGTTGAAAAAAAAATACAATAAAGACTATTAGTGTAAAAAATAGGAGGGGGTGCACATGCTCCCAGGTGTACATGATACAGACTTGAAAATAGCTTACTTGGCATGAAATTGGAAACTCACTTAAGTTGAAAGTAGAAAAATAAATTTAACCGTGATTACAGTGCATCTTAACTGTAGAAGATAACTTTATTTTAATTTTTGTAACAACCTTTTATAATAAGTAATCTGATAATGAAAGTTCAAATAGAATCCAAGTTATCCTAGATTACTCCTATCTTAAATCAACGCACGGGATTTGTTAAACATTGTTTTATTAAATCCATGACAGTAAACAGTTCAAAACAGTCAGGTATGTCTCTATTTCATTTTTCTTTAAAAATTTTGTTCCTTTCGTATAGTTTTTTTATTCAACGGGTGGCTTTCGGACATATTTTCTTTTTTATTCAATACGGGTTTATATTCAATGCAAACACTCTCAATGGATGTGGAGTACTTGTGCATCATACCAATAATCTCGGTCATAATTTTTTTTTTTTGTTTTTTTGTTTTTCTGAATATTACACTAGATTAAAGAATTACTTATTTATGAATTTTTTATTTTCGCAAACACTTTCGAGTTGTCTATGATCATTATTCAGATGATCATAAACGTGTTCCTCTCGATCTCGAGGATTTAGGAGAAGCCCGTTTGGGATGATCAGGAGCAAGTTCATATACCTGAGATGCCGCTCATGTAATTGTATTCTAATTTTTGTTTTTGAATTCTTTATGCCTTGGATGATGCCTACTGTTTGTGTATTTATTATTTTCAAGAGGAAGTCGAGGAAAAATGCAGTTTTATCAGGACATGGTGATTTAGATCTGCTTTGATCCGGCGAAATTGAGGATTGGAGTGCATCTGTGATTTTTTGGGTGCTTCATTTTTATGTTTTGAGTATTGAATTTGATTAAAAAAAGGTACTGCTTCACGAAAATTAAGATATTTTTCTTAACACTTTATCGCTTTGCTCTTCTTCGTTTTTATTACTAATAGAAATTTCAATCTGTTTAAGACAAATTCGTCGCTTCCACAAGTCAAAATATTTTGGTTTGTTATATATTGTAGCCATGAAGAAATTTAGCAAAGCTAATCAGTATCTCTGGAATTTGGTCATTTTTTTCATAGCAATTTTTTTTATTCATGATTTATTAGCAGCAAGATGGAGCTTTACATTTGGACTCTGATGCATCTCGATGGATTAGAGGTGGAATCAACAACACCATATTAGGATAAGTAGTATACTTTTTCATTGTAATTGCTAGAAGATGTAGAATTCAGCGTAATAGAGGTTTTGATAAAGTTTCTATTAATGGATAACAATTTTAATTTGATATAATAAAAATTTGATTATTTAAATTTCTTTTTTATTTAAATGATAATCTATTATGGCATTTCAAAATCGTCCTAATAGCTAAACGAAAAGGAAACATCTTACAAATTTTCTGTCATGAAATAATTAGAATTATTAATTTTTCGGTAAAACTAGATGAGTAAAAAAAGATTAAAATTACATGTTCGGCTATTACTGGGGTAGGGTGGAGGGATTTCAGCTTTTTTTTTTTTTACTAAACAATTACATTTTAAATATGCATTTCAACACTATTATTCTTATGAATTTCAATGATCTTTATTTTATATACAAAATAGTATCGAAAAAATTTCACAAACCGCACAACGTGCGGATCACCCATTAGTAAAGATATTATTTCTGAAGACTCCGTCCTCCAAGTATGTCTAGATTTTATAGTTGAACTTTGTCGATAAAATTGCTCGCTTGGATCGAGTGATAGACTGATAGTATACATATCATAACACTTTATTGTCCTTGTCATACTAAACAAATGAAGTGAGGACTCAAAAGACTTCTACGCCTATTAACTTACAGGTTTTTTTTTTTTTTTTTCTAATACAAAACGTTTGTGTCATAATATTAAAGATCTGGAATTAAAAGCATCACTGTTCACGACTTAGTAAGGATACATGGTTTGCACCTAATTATCAAAAGACACTCTTTTTGTCTTAAAATTATTGTCAAGTTTAGATATCACTTTTCAGTAGAATTTAAACCAAAAATGAAAATTCAAAATGAATATAGTTTCAGAACAGAGGGAGCATATGTTCATAACTAGATCATGAATTAACTAGAGCATATGTTTATACTTGATTAATTAAAATTTTTATCTCACTTATTCTTATATTAAGATACGTTTCATGTCCCACTTATCAATATGTCCACAATTTAACGAGAAAGATTAATCACTATACATATATATATATATATATATATATATACTCGTGTTCAAAAATAAGAATCAATTACTTGTTACTATAGATTGAAAAGATGAAAGGACCCAAAATTGCCTTTTCTCTCTTTCTCAACACGTCCATGATCGATCATTACTTTTCTAAAATGATGTGATATAGAACAATACATTTTCTCATCACATGTCAAAAAAAAAAAAACCCACATTTGTAGCATATCCACAAATTTTGTGCCATGAGCTATAGAGAGAAGAGGTCCTAACATCACTGCCTATCAATTTCTTTAGCTTTTTGGCAAATAGCCAAGAGAAAAGAAAAGACGATTAATTAAACTTGACCTTGATCAGAGGGAATCCCTTTTTTGTATTAATGCGAAAAAGAATTCCGTAGTGAAACTGTACTACTGTGTTTGTTCTTTAATCTGAAAAGTTGAAGCTGAAAATGATTTGACCTTTTTAGTTTTTGGTTTTCCTCCCTTAAGTCATAAGGCGACAGTCATGGTAGACTAATATTAATGACGGTTTTGCTAACATTCCATAATACGTAAGGATGTGTTCACTGTGATGCAACTCTAGACTGTTTCTGCATGGAAAATTTCGGATAATTCACAATCACGTAATGGTAAGATGGTAAGAGGTTGATTGGAATTATACGAGTGGAAGATTATTATACGAGTTTGAATCTTCCAACTTGGTTGGGAAAAATCCAAAAAATTTAAAATAAATAAACGTACAAAAGTAAGATTTGATCAGAACAATTAATTAGGGTGATATGGCAGTGAAGTGAGATGACAACTAATTTTGCAAGCATGGATTTTTATAATCACCACACGTTTTATGTTTATTTTTATTTTTATGTATTACACACCCGATGTCTGAAATCATTTCTTTAATTAATTGAAATTCGAGTCAGATAAATTCCTTTCAGAGCGAAACTCTTTCAACGAGCATTTTTCATCATTACTGTCCATGTTTAGTTTTCAGTATATTTTAAGTTCTCTCAACGTGTCTTTTTTTCGTTTTCTTTGATACCACTACCACATGTCTTATTTCAGTATATTTTTATTGAATAATTTGCTAAAATAATTTAACATGATACTATTTTTTTCCCGAAAAAATGTATTCAATGTGGACTTATTTTTAAGACCGAGAGAATTTTTTTTTTTTTTTTGAGAAGATTAAAGTTCTACTATAATTAAATGTCAATAAAAGAAAGGGGTCAATACACAATTCTCCAAGAAAATAACAACTGAAAATGTCCGGTGTGCCGGCCGCCCCCTCCATCTACGGATAAACACGAGCTCTTGAGGTGTTGCCAAAAAAGGAGAAATCTGGCCACATCTTAAATTGATGGTCCAGCAGCCCAACCAATTGAAATTTAGTTACCATTGTCCATTAACCATTTCCATCTAACATCAAATCATGGTGAATATGAATTATAATGCTCTAGTGATTTCCATTTATACACATAACTGTAAAAATTGAGGATTCGACTTTTACCTCTAACACGAAAAATAGACGGATGTAGGAAAAACCAAGTAACTGATGCTCAATTGTCCGATCTTAGAGCATGAATGAATTAATAATTTTGGTATTGGTGGTAATAATCTATCGAGGGAACTAATTTTTTACAGGTTATGATGCATTACTTTTTAGAGTCATATCATATTTTTGTATCGTGTTATCAATTTATCGTAATCAATTACTCTTTCCATCTTAAAAAAGAAAAAAATTCAACGTGAACTATTATTTTTGAAACATGGTTAGAAAGTAATTTGTAAAAATACATAGCATCAATGGTGAAGTGAGATTCGCTAAATAAGTGATTTACGATCACACACATGGCACATTAATAAGCATGCCCTTTTCCCAAATGACCTTTTAGATTTGCCAAGCAAATTACTAGAAGTCCTTCATTTCTATCGAGTTTTTTTTTTCTTTTTTTTTTGTAATTCCTACAACTTTAAATGGAGGTAAATTTGATCATTTCATGAAAGATAATGACAGACTTGACACGAAACAAGGAAAATCTTATCAAGATTATAATAGGTCCCTCATATTTTTGAATACTATTCTTCTAAACAGTCTTGCTTCTTATTGTGTAGTCCATTTCTTCATCTCAATCTCTGATCATCATGCAATTAAGACAAAAAGTTTAATAAAGGCGGTAGTACAATACAAATAAAATTTAGCTTTTCGAGGCCGCCGTGTGACACACGTCAAATTTTACCTCCAAAAATTTCACTATAAATTCATCACTTCTCGAAATCATTCTCTTCAAACCCACACCCCTTCAAAATTCTTCTTCTTCTCTTCTACTTCTTCTCCTGACAAAATAATTGGATGCTCCTCTTGAGATCGACTTAACAAAAAAAAAAAAGGAGAAGAATTTTTTTCTTAAAAAAAAAAAATGGTGAAAGTTCAGATGTTAAGATTTGTGACAGAAGTTGCACCATCAAAGATGGCATCTCATGTGATAAAGCGTCCATTTGTGAAGATGCTTGAAACCATCAAGGAGGAAGAGGCTTCCCATGGAACTTCCACCGCCGCCGCCGGTGGCCTCTCCTCGGCCGCCGGCGTCACCATTTACGTCGACAGATCAAAAGGCAGAGCAACATGAAGATCAATGATGTAGTTAGATCATGAGGATTCACCTTTCATTTGATGTCTTAAGCCTATATGAGCGCTGAAATTTCGCTAAAAAGATTGAGGATAGTGAAATGTTCTAGTACTACAAAAAAGAAAAAAAAAATGTATGTTTTGCCAGAAGTATACTACTGAGTGAGTTATCAGTGAATATGGGATTCTACTTTTATGAGGAATCTTTAAGGCTGTTGTTGATGTTTCGTGTGCACTGAATAAATTATGCACCTTAATAATTTGTAGCACGTACGTTATCTAGCAGCTAGTAGTACCAGTGTATTACATTTGATTTTTTCAGTTGTGTCTTCCTTTAAGAGTTGCAAATCGTTCCCTAAAACTCGTCCCAGTGCCCATCAAAATATGTAGTTTAGACTAGTATTGCAATAATATTAGGTTTCAAGTTCGAATCTCCAGAACGATCAACGTGTACTGCTAGCTATAACCCTCCCATCGTAACGTGCGACAATCTACTTATAATTATATTGGTAAACTAAGTATACTTGCACTTAGAATGATAAACAAAAATTAAAATGAAGTTGCGCTCCATCATGATTTTTTTTACAATGCTTAATATTGATCACCATTCCGTCCCAATAGAATAGTTCATATTGAATTTTGATATTTATGCTAAAAACAATACAAATCACAAAATTTAATACGTCTTTTTTTTTCTTTTTTTTTGGTGATTCGGAGAGTATATGTACGTAAATAAAATTTTGGTAGTAATATCAAACATGCATCATCAGCTCCAACAACGCCTTGTAATCTTAAGATACATGTGATGAAGAATTGAAGATCAAGACACAATAACCAATTCAAGCTTCATTTTCGTTCGTTAACATATATATATAAATTAAAGGAAAGGAAAAAGATTTGCCAGCCCACGTATCAGTTGCTCCATCTTTTAAACTTATCGCTTTTTTACCTGTTTACTGTTTATTACTGCGAAATTAAATAGGACCGTTAATAACAACTGCGAAGTGATGAATAATGGATGCCATCAAAATCAAACGTCAAAACAAGCTAGTTTGCGAATTCTCTTATATACTGTCGCGAAGAAGTATCAGGTTTTTCTAGTCGAAACAATATAACCAATTAACATGAACATTTTTTTTTTTTCAATGAAGGGAATCATATATAGTTTACGAGAAATTAAAAGATTTGGGAACAAAAAAATCTGATCATCAACCTGCTAGCATGACATTTCGCTTACTGCAATTCTTTAACCCAAATTTTGAGTAATTTTTATTTTTTATGCCATCTCTTTCTAACATAATCCAGATTTTATATAAAATGATGGTTTAAGACAGAGCATTACAATCATGGTTTTTATGCCATCTCTCTCTCCTTTTTTTTTTTTTGGGCGAAAGTATAACTAATCGTGGTTGGAAACAATCAACCCCCAAGATGAGGATATTTTGTTTGGTTATAAGAATGGTATAGCATCACTCGAATAATTTACTATTCTCCCAGCAACATTTAGTAAACAAATGAGGTTAGTTCAGTGGTAAAATTATCTATGCTTTTAAGAAGAGATTATGAGTTTTATTCTAGCTATACTCCAACATGAATGAATGGTAACTCTACCCTTATTCGTTGATAACATATGGCAAATATATACATGAAGTCTTGATTTCACGCTCGAGTTTGTCATCTGAAAGGACCGGAAGTTACATATGGTGGTTTATCTTTTACTATGATTTGCCAATTATTATAGTGGGACGTGAGTTTACCCATTTCTGATAGGGTTTCCAACCTTACCCAAGGAAAAAAACATTAAACATGTAATCATTGATTTTGATTTTGAGGTCTGGATTTTTTTTCCCTCTATAATACTACGTTATATTATTATTTTGGGATATCGGAGAATCTAAAAATAATTTATCCTCTTCCTAAGCGACGATCAACATCCGATGTTTTTCCTAAAGTTCGGAACTCGTAACAGGAACAAATCGAAGGCTGTTCTCGCCCTTGTCGGGGGAGACGCCAAAGTGCAAGACATTTCTCCTTTCCACCAACAGTTCTCTTATGTTTTCACATGAGCTGAAAGGTCACACATTTGTGATTTGCCCTACAATTTGTGTATCACAGAAATATATTGTGGACACCAATTAATAAATGGTCCACCCCATAGGCGGCCATAGGGCCTTATGTTTGTCCACAACAACCACCGGCGGCAGCCCTTCTAATGAATCGGATGGGTCGACGTACCTTTGGGCAAATAATTCAAGAGATATTTTATGTAGGACGATTTAAATTCTGGTCTTACTTTTATTTTTTAAAAAAATCAATTGTATTCTTACTGATCTTTAATATAAGACATTTTAATTTGTCCTTTTAATAAGTTGTTCTTATTGAAAATAAAACGTTAAAAATGTATTTTCACATTTATTGTATTCTTTTAATTATTGTAAAATATTTTTAAGATTTTATTTTTGATTACTAGGTTGTTCTTTGTCGCGTGTTACGCGACCAGTTTTTATATATACTATATCATATATTATAAATTTTTGTATTCTTAATTTATTTCGGATACAAGTGGTTATCGTGAAAAAATAGTACTATCAAGTTTAAAATCTAGAAGAAACTCAAGATTGAGAGAGAGAGAGAGAGAGAAAAAAAAGATTGTGGTTTTATCTCGTGTGTGTTACAAAATACAAACTTTGGTCAAGATCATATTTATAGGAGAATGATTAATTAGTTTATTTATTCATACGTGCCACTTAGTAGTGGTAACATTATTAATTATTCTATTTCTAACCGAAATAGAATTAGAAAATCTATGCCAGGATTCTTTAATTAGCTTCCACAGATTCTATGAGTTGAAATGACAAGTTTTGTAATACATGGTCTTCGCTCAAATTGCTATTTACTCGTGTTCCAGGGAGAAAAAGAAAAAAGAAACAATACTTCAATTGCGTTTTGGTTCTTATATTTTTGAACCAGCTATTGAATTTTGTGATCTATTAAAAAATTTCTAATTTGTTTGCAGTCGTGCGTTGTGTGACCAGTTTGTCTCTAAAGAAAGGTCACCAAGAACAACACAAAACCATAATATTCAAAACTTTTGTATCGAAAATGTTGAAGGAGAATTCTTGCTGACTAATGAAATCTGTGCAGAAATTTGTTTTACTCTAAAACGAATTTCAGATAGCGTGACCTTTGCAGCAGTTGGTGACACCTCAATCTGGAAGAGAATATCTCGGATTCACTACCGTCATTTAGCATATATTCTGGGCAGGTATATCTTCAAATTTGAAGAAACTGATTCAAGCTTACTGAAAAACCTGGAAGATTTTTTATGGAACGATAAAATGGCACCAACTGTTTAACCAATAAATGCTAACAGCTAGGTTTGACCTTGAAAAGTACATTAAAAGTTCTTCAGCTATGGTAAAATGCAACATATGATCCTAGTTGAAAGATGGACTTAAGGCATTTGCTTTGGAAAATAGAGTTCAACTCAAATTTTCAGTGCCATTTTATCGTCATAAATAATCTGTGAAGTTCACAATTATAGACTGCCTCTTTGTTTAGTAGAACTTCCTAGCAGATGTCAGTTGACTGTAATTGCAATGGAAGCTAGGTTTAAACAATCTTCCAAATAATGCAATATTTTCTAAGACAACCAACTGAATCTAGTATACGCAAGAAATGATGCCTATGATACTAACCAAAAACCCAACATAAACCTCAGATGTTCATGCTTTAATGATGAGAAAGTTTAAAAAGTTTGTAAAAGAGCTATTTTTCTCTGTCTTCACGTACAACAGAAATATTCCAGCATGTATGAGTTTTCCTTCCTTGCGGTTCCAATTGCTTTTTCCATTGAATTCCAGCTCTTTTTTTTTTTTTTTTTTTATTAATTTCCAATTCAAATTGAAGGTTCTTGCATTCGTGTCCATTTCTTCATGTTTGCTGAGATTTCATTTTTTCAGAACTGGGTAACATGTTTCATTGCACTGTTTCGTCCATTTCTAGCCAGAATTTGGATTTGAATTCTGAATTGAAATTGTAGCCCTCTCTTCCAACTTTACAACCATATGAAGAATTTCTAAATTCGAGCTTTGAAAGTCAAGTTATGCTCTCTGGAAGTTGACAGATAGTTGCTGAAGTCTGTAAATTTTATTTATCAGTTTTGACAACAGATTTCCAACTGCATTTTTGGCCACTGAAAAGCCTGAATTTGGAGAAATGTTCTTCATGACAGAGTTGGCTCTCTCTTTGATCTTCATAACGATATAAAGAACGTCCAAATTCGAGTTTCAGAAATCAAGTTATGGCCTTTGAAACCTGCATTTATATAATGACGTTTATAACCCTTTTGAAATATTAGTTTATCATTAAAATATAATTGGAACTCGTTCACTATTAAAAGTAAGCCTTCATATAAATCCCGTAACTTTGCCCCCGTCGTCTTCAGAGGCCAATGGTCGCGCTTCAAACTTAATCAATGTCACAGAAGACTGAAAATTAAGGATCAATAAAAACTGTCTTTTTTTCCCTTTCTCAATTAATACGTCCATATTTCCCATTTCCAAAATGATGATGCGATAAAGTCGTAATACGATACAATTTTTACTATCACATATTGAACCAAATACCAAATATAGCATCACAATATTGTGCTGTGTGCATGCAGAGGTCCAAAAATCATAGCCAGGCAATCAATTTCTTTAACTTTTAGGGAAATGGCCAAAAGTAACACTATTAAACGTGACCTCGAATTCAGGTAATAACTTTTACACATTAATGTAAAATGGCCGCCGTCGAAGTACTATATATTGTACATCTGTGTAGCTCTTTTTAATGTGGAAAGTTGGAAGTTGAAAATGATGGGAGCTTTTAACTTTTGGTCTTTTCTCATAAGGCGGCACTAGTCTGGTCAGTCATGGTAGACTGACTTAACAATATCAATGACAATACATTTTGGCTAAAATATGAATTGTAAAAGGCTTAATTTTGATCATCTCTTAATCTTACGTGCGTAACGATGTGTTCACTGTCGATACAATATAAACACCATATATATACATAATATTGATTCACTTCCGGCTGTGGTTTTGCATCGCAAATATTTCATTAAACTTGGCTTTATTGAAGTTATTATATATGGAGTTGTAGTTTCCGTAATTAAACCAACGATATGACTTGCGAGAAATGGGCATCCAAAAATTTTAATTTGAGTTGATTCGCTTACATGGATCCCCTAATTACAAAGACAAACTCCGTTAAGCTTGCATCATCTCTTGTTCTTATATATATACCAAGAAAAGGCAAAAAAGATTTAGCCAAGAATTCTTCCAATAAAGTTGCAACTGAAAATGTCACTGACCCTTTCCTCCGTCGAATTTCCGATAAACATAAACATTTTGAGGTGTTGTTGAAAAAGGGGAACTCCGGCCACCATCTTAAATTGATGGTCCAGCAGCCAAGCCAACGGAAGTTCCATGCCACCCTTAATTAATTTACCCTTTTGTATTGATTCCCTGTCACTTCAAGTTGATGCTTAGTTAGTTACTATACCGGTAAAAGAATTTAATACCGTAAAATCAACCTGAAAGGTCAGACCAGCCCAATATAAGATTGTTAGTCGCAACATTTATGTACTTTTATATAATATTAGGCTAGCAACGGATTGTTTTGTGGGTATAATTTGACCTGGTAAATTACGTATTTACATCCATCGGCATATCTTAAAATGCTCAATTTCAAATTGTATCGTGTCACAACCATCGTCCATATCTTTGCTAAAAACATATAACAAGGCCGGTGATCGAGATTAGCTTCCCACACATGGCGCATTTGCAAAATTACTTTTTCGATGGGGAAAAAAATGGTTAATTTCAGAGATTGGTCAAGTTATTTTCCACATTAAATGCAGGTAAATTTGATCACTCGTGAAAGATTTGACACGAAATCAAAGAGAATCTTATCAGGATCGATGATAAAAGGTCCCCCCACCCACCCCACAATTTCTGAAATTGGATTACTATTCTACATAGTCTTTCCCCTTCCAGGTTTAGTCCATTTCTTCTTCATCATCATCATCATCTCAAAGCTCATCTAGATCATCAATACAAATACACATTAGCTTTTTTGATGAGGTACCGTGTAACACACGTTTACAAGGACACCCCCAAAAAAAAAAAAAAAAAGATCCCTATAAATACTTCACTTCTTTGAATCACTCTCTACAAATCCATTCCTTCCTTCAACTTATACATCTATTCTTCTTTCTTTCTTATAAATTTTTTTTTAAAAAAAAAAACAAAACAAAATGGTGAAAGTTCAGATGTTAAGATTTGTGACAGAAGTTGCACACCCAAAGATAGCATCTCACGTCATAAAGCGTCCATTCGTGAAGATGCTCGAAACCATCAAGGAGGAAGAGGCTTCCCATGTTAGCTCCGTCGCCGGCGGCCTCTCCTCCGCCGCTGCCGGCGTCGTCATTTACGTCGACAGATCAAAAGGCAGAGCTATATGAAGGAATTATTAGAGACCCGGCCCGGATCAATATTATTCTCATCATGGAGGTTCACCTTATTTTGTGTCTAGCTAGCTAATTTCTTGCAGTACTGAATTTTTACAAGTACTGCTCAAGAAATTAAATAATGTTTAATATTACGTGCCCCCCATCTTTTTTCCCTTTTTAAACTTACTTAGTGTGTGATCAGTGGAATATATGAGATTCCAGTTTTTTTGAGGAATCTTTCGTAGATCATGATGATGATGTTTCGTGTTCACTTGTGTACTGAGTAATTCAACTACCTTATTATTAGTAGTACAAAAGTCGCGTTATTTTAACAATGGTGCGTATCACTGTTTTTGTCTTTGATCCGTGTTAATCAATTTCTCCCTCTTACGCATACTTTTAAGAAACACGTTTGATTAAAATATTTATTGTGAGAATTTTGTCCTTCGATAAACAACTCAACTAAATTCTTGTTTTGCCAAAAATAAGTGAAAGACATATAATGCTCCCTCTGTCTCGAAAAATCTATTTGTCCGATTTAAAGTTTTATTTCTAATACAAATCACAGTAAAATTGAAAATTCATCATTTTAGTAAAAGAATAATTAATTAAACAAAAATATACTAAAACACACATAGTTCTATATTAAAATAAAAAATAAATAAGACGGTTGACGCACATGTATCCTCAAGCAATTCTATTGTTTTTCTCGTGTGTGTACATAGATTGCCTAATAATCACGTTGAAATACATGCAAGAAGATATTTTCCATGTATTATCTTTTGTACAAAATTGAAATACTATCTCTACCAACAAAAAATTTACTTATATTTCAAAAAAATATGCCACAATAAGTTAGGATGAGTACTATCTCATTTTCACAATGTAAGATTGTAAGTCCACTTAGATTTCAAGATTAGCAAAGATAAAAAGTCCATTTTAACCCTAATTAACAAGGCTAAATACTATTACATAACTCAAAAATCATTGCTCCAAATTGGTAGTTGTGTACATTTGGACAGGAACATATAGTACACTGAACACATAATAAGATTTTCTTGGGACAGGAGGAGTATTTACCATGAACTCCCATGTCATACCAAAAACCGACGTATCTTTTGTGATGTTTTATCTCAAGTAACAATTTGGTTTGACAATTATTTTAGGTAATAACCAAACCATTCATGATTTTACAGAAACTCAAACCCCTTTATTCTATACAAGAACAACGCGACGAAAGTGTCCAAAATTCAAAATTATGCCCCTAAAAATGTGTGAAACAACCCCCATGTTGACAGTACAAATTGCTTCGGTGAGGGTAAGAATGGTATATATATAATAGTCCTAAGGATCTCTACTGATTCACGATTCTCCGTGTTACATTTAATGATCAATTCTGAGTTCCGGGGAGCTCCTAATGGTGGAGATCTAGCTCAGTTGCTCTCTGTAAAATAGAGCTCAAAATTTTGCATATATATACCACTATTTACAGATTCAGCAACAAAGCAACAAATGGCCAAATCTCAGGTATACGGCATACTGAGTACAACTGTCTCCTCTGCTGGAGACACTAACATTTACAAAGAACACGCCGAGCGCGCCGCTGAACTCCTCAGAATTTGATCCTGTGAGCAAATGGTCAAGTCTTGACAAACTCAAGAATGCAGGTCAGCTAAATGCAAGAACTGCTGCCTTCACTACAGTTTTTGGCCAACTTTTTGAACAGCAGCTGCCATCGACTCGGATGCCTCCTCTAGTGTTCGCTTTCTTTGCTCCGACTTAAAGACCTCGATTATGTCCCCTTCTTCCCAATCATTGAAGTCGTTTACTCCTATTCCACACTCTAGTCCGGCATTTACCTGTCCAACAAGGCAATAGCAGTTATGTATTTGTTGTTTGTCCGCACAAAAATTAATAAATAACACACGCAGTGCAAAATCTAATATTCATGTCATACAAAACTCATTTTCACATCATTTCAGTTCCTATTCCAGACAAGGTAAATTACATCAGCCACCTCAATCCTTGCAGAGAGTTGATATGATTGTTACTTCAAATCATTATCACCGCACCGTTCAAGAAGTACTATATGTTCAGGAATCGCAATGCCTTGGCAAGAATATGTGGATTGGAAGTACTGGGAACACAACTTATAAAAAGACTGGCATGAATCTGGCAGCAATAAAGCAGGGATTCTCACACTATTTACAGACAGATACGACAATATAATGACACCCCAAACAAGGCAAAGATTCCACAGCATTTTGTGACATGCAAACCAGATCTCAAACATATGCATCCAGACAATAAGAATCCCAAACATCAAATTGCTTCGACATCTTATTCAACCTAGCGATCACGCAGGACAGAAAGAAATGAACAACCAAACAATGTGTGGTACAAAAAGCACATTTCGCCTTTCAATCTCCAGAATAACTTATCCACACACTGACACAAGCAAAACCCCTTTTTAGTTAGAACTCAAGAGCAATAGGAAAATCACCTCTTTCACAAGCTCCTTTACTCGTTGCAAAGAATCAAGAACCCCGACAAAGACTTCCTTCTTACGTCTCCGAACCCGAAGTCCATAGTCTTTCACAACTTTACCTTCTGTCACCATGCATCCAGCAGCCTGGCCACTCCCACTCTTAAATACAGCTCGCACTTCTGCAGTACCCACAGGAATTTGTTCCTGCATATGATAAAGCATTTGATTAAGTCACCAGGTTGTATTCATCAGCATGTTAGAGCCGACAAATTTTTTCTATTATTAGTGCAGACACCATTGAACTAATAACCAAGTTTGTTGTTTATGAGAATTATCTGAAGTTTGTGAAGTAGCCACTTTTACATTTGGCATTAAGTTAGAAGTCAAAAGATATGACATAACTGCTTTTCAAGCCTCCATTTTGTAAGGAAAGAAGTTCATCCAAATAATAATTAATAACTGCACATTCTCTAATAAGAAATTAAAGTTCACAAGGTCACTAAAATAAACTGAGGAGAAATTTTCAGAAGAGTGAGTTAAAATCAATGATGAGAAATGGGTCATACCTCAACAGGATCCAATAGACTCTCCATTTCACTTCGCACTTCATCAATAAGTTCATAAATAACTTTGAACGTCCGGATTTCAACACTCTTATTTTTAGCATAGCTCTTGACAGAGCCAGGAACTTTTACATTGAATCCAAATATAATGGCATTACTTGCAGCAGCAAGATCAACATCACTAGTGGCAACGTCCCCAGTTGCCTGTAATAGGAACTTCAGGGTGACATTATCTTGGGGAAGGACCCTTAGGGCTTCTTTAACAGCTTCAATGGATCCCTGAAAGCAAAATCAATTAACATAACTACACAATTTTCCTACATATACACAGAGAGCTGTACATAAATAGAAACTTTCATCCAAACTTCCGACTACGACAAAAAGAAGCCAAGATATGATTATGCTAGCATGCTAATACAACAACGGCACTCTCTTTATCCACCTCTCTGAAGTCTACTATATGCATTATATCTCCCCATTATGTTCTTATTGAGATTCAAATATCTATAGACTCTTCCTAGTTCTTAGCAAGTGTTAACTATCCCCATTTAATTTGAATGATTGATTCTCAGTACTCAACACACCTTACTGAGCCTCTAAAGACTAAGGTTTCTCGGGCACACATCTAATTAACATTAGATACACATCCCTATTTTCATTTTTGAGAGATTAAGGAACCCCATTTTCAATCTAATGCATGCATGCACACCGATTGTATATAATCTTCTTCATTTTTTATTATTATTATTTTTATTTTTTGGAACTTATCATATCTAATCTATGGTTCAATTTAGCAATTAGTATCCTGACGCTCTAATCCATAAAATGTATCGCAAATCTCATACCCTGTCTTAAAGGTTTTCCTTGCGATTTTACTTTACAATTAAAAGTATATCATACACATTCCAATCCGGAAACCACCACAAAAAGCTTGAAAAATTGTATTAATGAGAAACATCACAAACTAAAAATAGCATCACGTCAAAACTAATGAGAAATATAGAAATCCATGAATTTTTCATGCATAGCTTCATCATCATCATTTAGTCACACCCAACTTATCTCAGAATTTAACAGGAATTCTTTAAACATCTGCTGTTAGTACTTTCTAAGAAGACAACATTTCACATAAATTTACTGTCAATGGTAAAGAATTATGATAATAAGGTGGTAGGTGCATACCTGCAGATCAACTTTTAGAATAATATTTAATTGGTGCAAGTCCAGACCAGCCTGTTTTCCCAATGAAACAGCAGAGGCCAAGGAAGAGAGTGTGACCATTCCATCTCCAGCTTTTGCTGAAAGTCTTTCATTTCTCAGTGACTCAGCCCGTAACTCGGCCCTTTCACGTGCAACATCAAGCGACTCAACAACCTCAAACTCATCACCAGCAAGAGGGACGTTGCTTAATCCAATGACCTGTGACACAAGCAGATGATACATTGATAAGTCCTGAACAAAACTCAAATACATCACTCAAACATACAAAAGAAAATTCAAAGGAAACCTCTTTAGTAGCCTTCATGTCGTGCATGAGACTTCTTCAGTGGGTGAGTCATGAGTTCATTTTTGTAAAATAAAATCCGAAGTAGAAATTTCATGACATCTCAGAAACATAGAACAAAGGATTTCATGTACAATTGACATGAATTAGACATTCACGGAGACCGGACAAGGAGGTGTTGGAACAGATCAAAAGAAAACCTCAACTGAGATTTGTATAGACTGCAAGACTAGTAAGGGCATAACAAATTTAATCATGATTCTGTATACCTGCACTGGGATAGATGGTCCAGCTATGTCCACAGGCTTCCCATTGTCATCAAATAATGCCCTAACCTGCATAACATAACCACGAACTCATTTCTTGAGATAACACAAAATTGGAGTGATAGCTAGACAGACAAAGAATGTTAATAAATTTGCAGAGGATTAGGTCGTAGGGTCCCATTTTGAGCATTTCTTACACACTAACCTTTCCAAAAGCTTCTCCACAGACCACTACATCTCCTTTTCTTAGGGTGCCATTCTGCACAATAAATGAAGCAACGGCTCCTCTAGATTTCTCAAGACCTGCTTCAATGACTGTACCTTTTGCATTTCTCTGTGGATTAGCCTTCAGCTCCTGAAGCTGTTGGGGTGGGGGAAGACAGAGCAAGAATGTGAAAACAAGTCCTGCAAAGGACTACAAAAAAGAATCATCTCCTAATAGCACACGAATGTTTCAATATAGATAATTATATGATGGGTGCGTGTGTGTTCCAAGTCCAACAAAGTAACAAATAGAGAGTCAGCTGATCATGATCCAGACCACAAAGACAGAATCAAAGAGAACAGAACTGCATACAAATAAGCCAACCCTACCTCAGCAACAAGCATGACAGTTTCCAATAATTCATCAACATTCTCCCCTTTAAGAGCACTGATCTGTTAAAGAAGAGAAGAGATCACATGAGTATTCGCAAAATCATGAAACAATCATTGAAATCATGAGTAAAACCAGTAGGAAGCATCCAACCTTAACCATTGGGGTGTCACCACCCCAATCTTCTGGCATCAAACCAATGGATGAAAGGTCCTGCATGACTCTATCTGGACTCGCTCCATCCTTATCAATCTAAAAAAATGAATTTGAACCGTCAGCAACAAATATCAACTTAGTTTGACCAAGAAAATAAAAAAGAAAATCAAAAGAAATCACACCTTATTTATAGCAATAACTATTGGCACCCCAGCTGCTTTGGCATGAGCAATAGCTTCCCTCGTTTGAGGTCTAATACCATCATCAGCAGCAACTACTATAATAGCAATATCTGTTACACTTGTTCCACGAGCTCTCATGGCTGCAAATGCCTGCAAAACCACCAGGAAGTTATATTTCCAACTGATAAAAACAGCATATATAAGAATCAAGTACAAATTGAGAAGAATGAAGATAAAAAATCTAACTCTACCAGAATTAAAGGTAACAATGTACACCCTAAATTACCTCATGCCCCGGAGTATCAAGGAAAACACACGTCTGTGCCTTGCCATCAATGGGTACTTGTACCTTATATGCCCCAATGCCTTGAGTAATACCACCTGCTTCACCTGCTGCTACCTATAATTGGTTGTCTAAGACTTAATTCCATCTACCCAATAATGTAATAACAATATAACAGAAGATCATCACAAAATTGCATGTGGAAGCCACTGTTCCATACCTTGCTCTTTCTAATGTAGTCCAAAAGTGTGGTCTGCCAACTCAAAAAACAACAGAAAAATAGTGTAAAACTTACGGTCGTTAAATTCATTTCAGATAATAACACTGGATCCTTAAAATCTAATAAATAACATAAAATTAAATTATGATGTTGCTTACTTTCCCATGATCGACATGTCCCATAATAGTAAGAACAGGAGGCCTATCTTCCAACTTGTCTAGGTCATCCTCATCAAAAATTTCTTTCTTCTTTGCCATTTCCTCCATGCTGACTGGGACAGCATCGATAACTTCAACATTATATTCCTGACAGATCATCTTCACCAGCTCCTTACTGAGAGTTTGTACACCATCGGGTTTGATTCCCTTCTTGTAAAGAGTTCCAAAAATTTCGCCTTCACCAACAGCCAAATTGTAGGCCAACTCCTCTATTTGCATACCTTCCTCACCAACCTCTAAGATTTCCACCTGAACGGGTGCAGCATCTATGGCTGCCTGGATTCGAGCAGCTTTGCGACTTGCCTTTGTCCATTTTCTTCCTTTCCTTGCAGCAGCACCAGGGATGGAAACACCAATCTCAGGAATCTCCTCATCATCGACAGCATCAACCAGCCGCTTCCGCTGCCCACCAGAGGAGCTGCCCTTTCTACGGAAGTCATAATTGGACTTATCTTCTTTAGATCTCCCATCCTTGGACTTTCCAGGTGCACGACCTTTTGCTGGCTTTGGTGGGGCTAACACTGCTTGAGCAACCAAAGGATCAACAACTGGTTTCTTGGAAGCAAATTTGTCAATCAATATTGGCTTGCGTTCTTTGGTTTTGGCAGAAGAGTCGGCCTCAGATACAGGCTTTGAAGCTGCTCCGACATCTTTCAAAACAACAGGTTTCTTAACCATTGGAGGAGGAGCAACAGAAGGCTTTGCCTGTAAGGTGGGTTCAAATTTCGATGGTGGCTGAGGGGGACTTGGAGAAGGAACATTCTGGGACTCATCATTCCCTAAACCATCACTTTTTGGCTTCTGCGTCGGAGTTTCAAAAACTTTCTGTACAGTTGCAACTGGATTGCCTTTGCGCCACACACTCTTCATTGTCTTAGACTTCTTACTGGAACTGGACGACACATTTGTAGGTTTACCATTATTTTTTACAGCAACGCGATTGGCAGTTGATCTATTTACTGATACACTGACCTTCTTATTATTTTCCAGCTTTTCGGCCTTCTCCAATACTTCCCCAAGTGATTCAATAACTTTATTTTTTCCTTCTTCATTATTCTTATCTTGTTCATTATCAGAACCAGAGTTTGTTTTCAAGTCCAACGAGCCCATTCCCACTAGGGGTTGAGCTTTGGGACCAGATTGCAACTGAGGTTTTGGAGCTGGCTTAAGTACAAGATCAGCATCATTACCACTACTTTCTCTAAATGTGGAGTCTAATGATATAGAAGTACTCGGATCAGAAATATAATCAGTAGTCACGGAGTATCTACAAACAGCCACATATTTCCATCTCTTTCCCACCCAACTTCTGGGAAATGGAATTGTTCTAAAATTCCTAGAATAAGATACCCTCCTAAATAAAGAATAAGAGCCCTCAAATTTCCCAGTAGAGCATGTGCAAGTGTAAACGTTCCCCAAGTTAACCAGGGAAGCCATGGTAGTCATTTTGAATACCTTATCTTAATCCTATCATGGAACAGGGCAAAACTTATCCTCCAATGCAGTAAACTACAAAACTTTCCCACCAATTCTCCTTCAAAGCACCAGTTTCCTGCTTGAACATACAAAAAAATCAACTCAGAACCCACAATTGATCCACTAATTTACACTATCTACACGATTCCAAAAAATTGTTAAACAGATGATGAGGGGCGGGAGGGAAGAAGGGCCCTCTAGTATATCAAAATTAAGCCGAAAACTCAAACTTAAAACAAAGAAATAAAAGAAACCAATTAGCAGAATTCGAACTTTGATTACGGGTAAGCAATAAAGTTCTCACCTTTGCAGAACTGCCACCGTATTTCCCCCCAAAACAGGCCAACAAAAATACCGTTTTTTCAGTTAAAAATTTGACCCTTGTAGCCCATTGTCCAATACAGTAATGTGGTTTGGTTTTCACTTGGGAAGAAGAAGAGATTGAATTCAAAGAGACATGCGGAGGAAGAAGAAGAATAAAACTTAGAGCAGGGAAGAAAATAGAATGAAAAGAGGAGTGGTGGTGGAAGAAGTAGGAAATCTGGAGAGTATGGGACACACCCAAAAATATTGGCTTGTGTGGCTGCCTCTCTGCCTGTCATAGTTTCCAATGTGTGATAAGGCTTCTGGCTAAGGTATTTTCACTTGTAAATTACACCTTCGTACTAATTTTTTTGAACATAATTTTTCCAGTCAGTATTGAGGCCTTACTTAAACCAAGTTTCTGTCCTCTTTTTATGCAGTTCCTGTCCAATTTGATTGCAAATTTATAGTATATTGGAACTTGTCTATCAATATCTATATGAAAATAAATCTCTTATTTATTGAAATGATGTCAATATGCATGATTGAGACGGCAAATTAGTGTATTTGACTAATTTTCTTGCAAAATGAATAACTCAATAATAAAATGATTAAAGACCACATTGATTAATACAAATTCACTTTCAATTATATTGTTGTTATACTTCATCTGTGGCAAAATAAGAATTGTACTATTTTGTTATACTTAGGCGGACATGATTCATTAATTTTGGAATTGAATTAATTTGAGTTTGAAACTATGCCTATAAATTCCTAAAGCAAATGGTACTACTACTAGAAGTTGAAAACTCGTGTATTGTTTTTGCTTTTAGTTAAACTCGTAATTACTTGAAGCATTAATTAAAACCTTACAAAAAAATAAAAAAAAATTATTGATGCCATTATTCCCTATGCCTTTCAACTTCTCCAGAAGTTTTTCAATACTTCTTCCATCCTCTGATTGGAGCTGCCGGTAGCATATCATTATTCGATTCCTTCAGTTTCCTGGAAAATTGCCAACCCCAATTGTTTGATAATTCCATTTCCTCTATTCTTGAGGTCTTCCATAAACTCGTATTACGTGAAAGATGGCAGAGAAATTGGCTCCCGAGAAGCGCCACAGTTTCATCCATAATGGTATAGTTTGAAAATTCCCTTCATTCGTCTTCTACCTGCAGGGTTTTCATTCTTTCAGTCTCGCCAAATTTGATGAGTTTGTTGTTTAAATTTTTCCAGGTCAGAAGGTGTTTGAGTGGGATCAAACGCTGGAGGAGGTGAACATATACATCACGCTTCCCCAAAATGTGCCGAAGAAGTTATTCTACGGCAAGATTGAATCCAAACATTTGGAAGTTGGGATTAAAGGCAACCCTCCTTATCTTAATGTTAGCCCTCTTTTTCTGTTTTCCTATAATTTACTCTGGTTACATTTTGTTAAGGGTTTCATTCTAAATCTGTTAGTTGGTTCACGCGCTGCCCTTACCCAAAGGAAATTTTCGGAAAAAACATGATTAAGCTTTAATTGGACTTTGATTTTAAGAAAATGTTGGGTTTTTTTTTGCAGCATGATCTTTCCAGTCCAGTGAAGACAGATTGTTCATTCTGGACCCTAGGTAATTTCCTCCATTTCTCTCACGTTTTCAGTAATTCCTCAATTTCACTATCATTTCCTTCAGTTTTTTTGAAGTTTCTGTGATCGTCTTATGGCGTTTGAAATTTGGATTCTTTTGAAGATTGGATTAGTACACTTGGCCTTTTTCAATACTTAGCCGAGCTCTTTACGTTCTAGCAGTCTTATTTCCATTCGGAAAGTTTTGAAGGTTGAGAGAAATAGAGCTTGGTCCATTAAATTGCTTGTACATGAAAATGAAGTTGGTGGTGTTGAGTGGAAAAGCCGTGTACTGAGTATATAAGTAGTTATAGTTCAAAGGGATGGTGTGAATAATTCATTATCTTTAGCAGCGGAATAATTTGTTCATTTGCAGAGGATGATATAATGCACATAACTCTACAGAAAAGGGATAAAGGTCAAACATGGTCTTCCCCGATCATAGGTCAAGGCCAGTTGGATCCTTACACCTCAGATATGGAGCAGAAACGCCTCATGCTGCAGAGGTTTCAAGAAGAGGTAGCTACTGTTAGTTCTCCTTAATCAAGATATCCTTGGAGCTACTGCATTAACTATTTTCTTTGATGATCATGATCAGCACTTCATACTGATTGTTATCGCTTGATCATTTAAAATGCTCTCATTTTGCTTCACTTTTTTGGCTTCATATAGCTTCTAATATAGCGGTATTCTTGGACCTGATCAATTCTTGTTATATCTGCGCCGGCTAGCTTTTACTGGAGATTGAATAGATTTCATATGGGATTCATGAATAACTGCATGGTTCAGTAGCTGCTTCTGTAGCTTTCTGGTTGTTCATGTTGACGTGCGATTATGCTTCAGTTAATAAGCGATTTAGGAGTTTGGTTGTTCTGTAGCTTTTCTAGAGCAGCTTTTTGGTTGCTTTGGCATTTCGGGTTGGTAAAACCTTTTCAAGTGTCACTTCCAATTTATTAGATTTTTCTCTCCGGTATGAAGAAGAGCTTATAATTTATTTTGGGAAACTCTATATAGCGACTAATTTGGAGTAATAACACCTGTACGAAATGTCGCAAGACTCATACTTAAGTCCCTGCAATTCAATTAGATGCGTTTCATATCGGCCCTTAGCTTTAGCCGAATTCTGACAACAATACGTACTCATTTCAATTTTGCTTTATGTTCTGCAGTTGCTCGGCCAAGTCAAACTATTTATCATTAACTGGATCGAAATAATGACACTTTCTGTTTTCTACTATGTTGTCAATCTACTTCTAGACTAGCTATGATATCAATGTAATAGCTAATTATTTATATTCTGCTCTGTATAGTTTATTGAACCCATCTTTGTAGCACTTATTTCCTAATTACATATAACGCCTGTATGAACACGTACGTGTGAGTTGCCATCTCCTGTAACTGAAACTTTAACTTGAATGCATTATGCAGAACCCAGGTTTTGATTTCTCGCAAGCTCAGTTCAGTGGTAGCTGTCCTGACCCAAGAACGTTCATGGGTGGAATGCGTTCAACTTGACCTGATTTGCAGCATGGAATTAGCATTTGGAAAATTAACTATGACTTAGTTATCTCTTAATAACGTCAGTGTGGGTTCAGATTGAGTTTGTTATTGCTGCTGATCTCTTTTCCAGTAAATTAAATCTCTTCAACTGGTTTGTTTTGTGGATAGTGTTTGTACAATGTTAATGTGTGATTGGTGATTCTCTTTCGGAGGGAAAGTGATTGATTTCTGGAAATTGAAGGTTTGGAACAATTGCTATACTATATGGACCATTATTATGAGTCGTTTACTTTTTTATTTTCCATTTAATGTCCAGAGACACATTTGTAATACTACATCTGTCTCAAAATTATTATTTAGTTTGGATTTTCATTCTAGTTCAAATTGTAAAAGTGAAAATGCAAATTGGACAACAATTTTGAGACAGAGGAAATATGATTTATGTTCTTTATATTTGTAAGAATTAAGAAGTAAGAAGTAACTATTCGATCTATTTTCCGGACTATCAATACAAAATGTAAATATCCGTCTTTAGGAAAAATATTTCATGGTTGTAATTCAAAGTTAGAAAACGCTCATTCTGTATCAAAATTATTATCCAATTTAGATTTAGATTTTCACTTTTAATTTGTATCAACAATAAAAAATTTAACTGGAAAAATAATTTTAGAACAGGGAGAATACATAATATGATTGAGTTGTGACATTGTTTCGTTCTCAAAAATTCATCCTTGATGAGTTAATCTGCGACTATAACAAGTTTGTATGTAGCAGTTTTTAAAAATCTTTGGTTCTGGGTTAAATTTGGGGATTAGTTTTAATGTCATCGAGTGTACTATATTAAAAAGGTCACTTAGGACAGTTGACTGACATTAACACGCTTTCCCAAATTACTCACGTTTCTGACCTGCGGGGAACTCAGATTACTGAAATTTAAACCCAAAAAAACCAAAGAAAACAAAAAGAAAAAAAAATTAAACTAAAAACTGACAGCCCAAAATTAGAATACTGTCCAGTCTTCGAAGGCCGAAGTCGAAGAGGAAGACGACCTTCCGAAACGGTAGTGGCCATTTACAGCAAAGGAAAATATAGCCGGAAATCATGAAGGACGAAGCAATTAGCTCATCTAGAGACCCTCTTTTACCTCGTATATCTTCAACCTCCCCTCCACCTACTCCTACTCCTGCTGCCAGGTATGCCTCCTGATTCATTCCTCAACCCTAGTTCCCAATTTTTCAAATTAATATGCTCAATTTGGTTTTGGGTTGATGTGGCCTGCTTAATTTTGTGATTGTTGAAAGTTTTGATTTAATTTTTCTGGCGATTCTGGTTTTTTAGTTTTAATACGGGTTTAGTATTGGTTACACTGCGGAGTTCTTTGGCTGATTCGAAAGTAATGTGGGAGGATAAATTTCAAAAAAAAAATAATAATAATTTTGTTTATCTCTTGTTGTTAATTTGGGTAATTTCCATGTTAATTATTGATTGCAATTTTAGGCTTTTTGTTAGCATGGTATCTGGAACAAGTGGGAATACTGGGAGAGTCGTGAACTTGGGATGGATAAGAGCGGGTCTTGTTGGGATTTTTCATGATTGTGCTGTTTTTTACTTTTTATTAATTCTTTGGTTAATATGTCAAGGTTGGAACTTTTGATTTGTTTGCTGGCTTTTGTTACTGGAAGTATAAAGGAGACAGTTTGGGAGTGCTTAAACTTTGTAATGTGCTATAAAGGTAAATCTTATGCACGGCTGAGCTAGTGCTGTGTTAGGGCTTGTCTTATTCATTGGGTTCCTTGTTGATGTGATTCTCTTTCAAGTATGGGGAATTTTTTACTCTTTGACTGGTTCGAACCATTCCTGTATGTTTTCCTTAATGGTATGAGTATACGATGACAGCATAACCTGAGCTGCCTGACTGCCTCTCTTGTTAAGCTGAACCTTTTCGATTTGTAAGAAGCTAACCAGATTATTTTGTTGCTTTAGTTCTGCTGGAGCATCATCCCCTGCTCTTCCTGCTAATGTTGGGAGCACAGACTGGTTGGGCCTAGGGCAAGGATCCAAAGGAGGTTCTCTTTCTCGAATTGGATCACAGCCCTTGTGTTCGCTTAGCACTAGTGCAGGTGGTTCTGCACTTGGAACATCACAACCTTCATGTAGGCCTTGGGAAAGGGGTGATCTACTTCGGCGACTTTCAACTTTCAGACCTGAAAATTGGTTTGGGAAGCCCAAGGTCACAATCTGAGTTTTCCTCTGTGTTCCTTGAGATTTTATGATTACACTAAACTATACCTTTATTGCTTTTTAATATGTCAAGTATTTTTATGATCCGTTTCTCATGATCCATTCCTTGGGACATCTAAAGGACTCATATCTCCTCTCAAGATTACTTTCAGCTTGTCTTTCTCATTTTTCTCATCTCATAGAGTAACTTTCTTTCCTCTATCTAGTGTGGTCCGCATGTCTGGGTTAACATTCTTATTCCTGTTACCTTTTTTTTTCGGTTCATTTTTGCATTTGGTTGCGTGTGAAGTGAGCAGTGCAACTTGCTGTATTGTTAGCACATCAGCATATAAACCCTCTATATATGGAGAATATCTTATCAACCACTGTTTAAAGCATGGATATACTATTCAAATCAACATTGTTGTGTTTAGTTTTTTTCCCCCCTTATTTTATATTAATTTTGCATCAATTCTCAAGCAGGCTGCAAATTCGCTTGCTTGTGCTCGAAGAGGCTGGGTAAACACAAGTGTTGATAAGATTGAATGCGAGTCTTGTGGTGCCTTTTTGAACTTCACTTCCTCAGCTTCCTGGACTCCATCTGAAGGTTATTATGTTTATTTATCAGTTTCTTGGGTGCTGATAACGTTCTACTGTGGCTCCAGTAATCAAAAGTTATTGTTATACTTATTTGCAGTACTTTTTTATGGAAAATTCTAGATTCTGTGTTCTTCGTTTGTTGACCTTTAACAGGAAGTTTGCTCTCTTGATATTCTTGTAGCTGATAGTGCCGGGGAAGATTTTTCTAATAAACTCGATGAAGCACATAAGGCGAACTGCCCCTGGAAAGGCAACAGTTGTGCTGAAAGTTTGGTGCAGTTCCCTCCCACCCCTCCTTCTGCTCTGATTGGTGGTTTTAAGGACCGATGTGATGGCTTGCTCCAGTTCCCTTCTCTTCCTCTTATTGCTACATCGGCTATTGAGCAGATGCGTGCTTCTAGGAGTTCTGAAATTGACCGCTTTTTATCTCAGACAGATATTATTGTGGGTGGTGAATCTGGCTTTAGGCCGGACTTTACATCAGGAACTGAAAATGCCCGAGATGATGTCTTTCTTACGTACTCTAATGTAAAGAGTAAACACAACATTTCCTCCCCTTTTTCTTTCCTAATTTATGTACATTTTCTGAACTTTCAGAAATGATTTGCCTTTTCTTTTTTTTCCTGCCTGCTAGGCCCAAAAGTTGATTAGTCTATGTGGATGGGAGCCAAGGTGGCTTCCAAATGTTCAAGACTGTGAGGAGCATTCTGCTCAATCTGCTAGGAATGGCTACTCTGTTGGGCCAACCAATAATTTTTGTCCTCCACGAGATACTGGCCGTGGCAAGAATGCAATGTCTACATCAACAAAAAAGAAATTGGTTAAAAGTGGCGTACATGGTCCTAATTATAAAGGTGAATCTAGGTCACCCTTGTTAGACTGTAGCTTGTGTGGAGCTACGGTAAGAATCTGGGAATTTGTCCCTGTTGCTCGTCCGGCTTGCTTTGCTCCCAATAGTATTGATCTTCCAGAAACAAGTAAGAAGCTGCAATTGACACGTGGAGTAAGTGCTGCTAGTGGAATAAGTGGGTGGATTGCTACTGATGGCTTGATTAAGCAGCAGATAGAGGACCAGGAAGAAGCTGCCACAACAGATGGAGGGAAATCCTTGTCAAACATTGGGGTGGACCTTAACCTTTCTGTAGGTGGTGGCTTGTTTTCGTCACAGGCCGGCATGAATCTAGCAGTTGAACAATACCAGGATGTGAATAGAGGAAGGGATCTTAGGATTGGACAACCTTCTAGTAGTGAGGTTGGCGATCGTGCTGCTTCATATGAATCCCGAGGCCCTAGTCCTCGCAAGCGAAACTTAGATGAACGAGGAAGCACTGTTGACAGACCACAATTAGTGATGCAACAGGCAGACAGTGTTGAAGGAACTGTTATTGATCGAGATGGTGATGAAGTTGATGGCAATGAGTACTTGGCTGGTCCTTCAAAACGTGCTCGGAGTTCAGATATTTTTGAAACGCAGCATTCATCATACAGAGGGGATTCATCTGGTGCTGGCCCGAGCCAGATATTTGGCTTTGAGATAGGAGCAGATGCTCCAAGAGATGATCCTTTCAACCAGGGACAGGAACAAGTATTTGGCGTCCCTTCTACTAGAGATTCAACTCGTGTTTCCTCAGTCATTGCAATGGACACTATTTGCCACAGTCCTGACAATGACTCGATGGAAAGTGTTGAAAATTACCCTGTAGATGTTGATGATGTCAATTTCCCTTCAACATCGTTGGGATTAAGATACAGAGATCCAAATGAAACATCAGAACTAAACTATAGTAATCAAGCACAGCAGAGTACCTGCCCCGGTGTTATTAGGAATGCTGGTGAAATGGGAGTGAGTAGTACTAATGATGAGGAAGTGGTGAATGCTGATACTGCCACTGCTCAAGGAAGAGATGGCCCTAGCTTTGGAATTAGTGGAGGAAGTGTGGGAATGGGTGCTAGTCATGAAGCTGAAATTCATGGAACTGACGCTTCTGTCCACAGAGCAGATAGCGTTGTGGGTGATGTGGAACCAGTAGCTGAAATCACTGAAAATCATGGCTTGACTAGTGAATTTGTCCCCGATCCAGGACTCATGGGTGACTTTGTGCCCGAAGAAATGGACCGTGAAGATGCTCAGGGCGATAGTCAAGATCTGATGTCTGGCTCTGTAGGAAGGGCAGATAGTGGCTCAAAAATTATCGGTTCAGCTAAAGCAGAGTCATTTGAAAGTGGCGAAAAGACCAGTAACATGCACTCAGACCCTCATGAAACTAGCATGCATCCTTCTCTATCTTGCAATGCTATCGTATATTCTGGGTGTGATGTATCCAAAGAAGAAGTTACTCAAGCTGGGAAAGAATTGCCTTCTGATGACTGCGGATTTGGAGAATCAGGATATATGGTTGCGAATGGTGGAGGTAAAGTTTTTATTCCCCGCTGTTTCTGTGTGGAGATTTAGTGGTGGAAACATCTTATTGTGCTACATTTCCTCCTAAGCTTTAAGGGTGCGTGCGTCCCAGATATTGAACATTTAGGTAGCATTTTTTATCGTTGCTTCTGAAAGAAGATGTTGGACTAAGAATTTGTATTTACTTTAAACATGTGTGTATGGTTCCATGATGGTTAGTAGACAGACATTCTTGTTGCATCCTGCCCTTTTAATCGGACGAAGAGGATTCGTTGGAGCAAGATTGGAAGTTTTTTTTTTTTCCCCTTTACTTTTCTCCTTTTGCAAATTTTCCCTTTTTTATAGTTGGCTTGTTGGAAAAGGAGGAATTCATACAATTCTACAGTTCCAAAGGAAGTCATGTCATACATATTATTCTTGTCATGAGCTTTCTTCCTGTGCAATAAGTTGTGATTGCCTCTTTATTTTCCATTTGGTGGCTTACCAAGAGTGAAATGTACTTCAGGTCCTCCTATTGGCGAAAGCAACTATGAAGATACTAGTGAGTTCAATCCAATTAAGCATCACAATCATTTCTGTCCGTGGGTTAATGGGAATGTAGCTGCAGCAGGCAGCAGCAGCAGCAGTGGTTCTAGTTCAAGTGCTGGTGCTCTTGCATTATGTGGTTGGCAGCTGACTTTAGATGCTCTGGATGCCATCCAATCACTTGGACATGTTCCTAGTCAAAACGTGGAATCTGAATCAGCTGCTTCCCTTTACAAGGTAGGTTTGTTGAATTTTAAGCACCTCCTCACTTTGCTTGAGATGAGTATTTTGACATATGCAACATTGGCTGTAAAGTTTATGAACTTTTAAAACACAGCACCTTTTCTTGTCCCTTCAACTTGCATGTAACTGCAGACCAACGTTTATTGTGAGGGTGCTATAGAACTTTTAGAAGGTTTAATTACTGCTCTGTTGTGATGCTAAAGACGACCTTTTAACTAATGACACCCTTTTCTTTGACCTGTGACTCGTTAAAATAGTTAATGTACTTATGACCACTATCTTGCTTTTTTGTATTTCATTTTTAAAAAGAAAACCTTCTGTCTAGATTAAAGATAGGTTTATGAGTTTCAATTGTATAACATGATTTTTATCTGGGGCCCTGGAGCATTGCATGTGAATGTTTCTTTGAATTAACTTAGAGCTGTGTATGACAATGTCCGACCTTAAATCTACTTAAGTGATATCTTTATTCAATGAACTTCAATCACTATATGACATGCACTTTTCACAGGATGATCACCTTGCACCAAATCGGAAGCTTCTGGCAGGGCCCTCGTTAAGCAAAAGTCAGGGTCAAAGCTGAAAGAGCATTTCTGGTTTCATGTGATTACTATTCGGTAATGTACTCAATGTTTAAGGCATTGTTCCCAAGAGATTACCTACTGCTTATATATCGTACTTGGTCACAAAACATAGCCACCCTCACCTGCATGATATCTGCAATCCCATCTTTATTATCACCGAGTTGTGTGTAAAAAAGGAGACTTCACATGATGTGTAGGTATTTTAGTCACTAGAGCTAAGCACTTGAAATTCTTTTTAGGATGATTAGTCACACCAGAAAGTTGGATCTTCATCGTGTTGTAGGGAGGCTGTCCATTTCCACTTTTTTTTCAATTTTTTTTTTCCCGGTTAACAAAATGTATGAGCCTTAACAAACATACAAGTATGTCCATTTCTGTATTATGCTTGCTTTTTCCCCCTCCCCCATAGGATACCATTGGAAGAGTGAAGCAGAGATCTTTTATTGCACATAGCTTTCCGGAAAGCCCATTACTGCATAGAAACTAGAGTGGAACTTTCACTTGCTGTAGCACTCTGCTTAGGGTATATATGAAAGGAGAATAATTGTGCTAGAGGTTTTACTTGCAGTTAGGGTTGCGGCCAGTTGTAGTCGCTGAATTCCCAGGTCATGCCATCTCCTGCAGATGAAATTAGAAAAGTTATGTTGCTCCGGTCTGGCTGCTTCGCCTTCAACCTAATTGTGTGGGGTATCCCGTGAACTCCAAGGAATGATGCTTCAAAATCCTCCAATTTCCTTGGTTGCAGCTGGAGAATGAAGCTTGTAGACTGTAGTTATATATTTAGCTGGTAAATTGGCAATACTGAAACCTTTCTTTCAAAGGGGCAACAACAGGTTGTTGAGATGATTTTCGCCACAGACTCTTTTAGATAAATAAACGAAACTGCTGAGTAAATTGGAGCCTTAGCTCTTTGTCTTCGCGGATGTGTAGGCCTTTTTATAGTATTGATTTATCTTGTATCTTCCTTGCAACTAACAACGTTTGAAAAAATTCAGCTCCCTTGCTTCTTTTCGTTATATTTTGTTGTTTTTTCTAATATATAATTATTATTATAATTTTACATATTTTTATTCATGTTTTGGAAGAAACCCCAGTTTTCTCAAATGGAACACTTTCATTTGAGAAGAGCCCCAGTTTTTTTATACCTATCTTATCTTGTTTAAATCGGTCTTTACAGATGTGAATGGAGGGGAGTATTGCATAATTCTCAACATTTTCCCTGGAGATACAATTGTCTTCTTTTTAGCTTACCTAAAATAAAAATTGGTTTAGGTACTAATAAAATAAATTGGTGACTAAATTCAGTAAATTGGTTTAACATGTTCAAAAGTTAAGGTAAATACTACTGAGGCATGAATAAAAGTTAGAAAAAAAACAAAGGAACAAGAAGACAAGAAAGAAGAAAACAACCGAATAGACAACCTGAGAAGACTTTCTTTGAATTCATATTCACAAATTTAAAAAACCGATATGGACAAGAAGTCGTTCACCGCAAATTATCGGTGACCGACAGTTCAGATGTAATTCAAATTCAAATGTAAATTCAAGAAATCCTTCTATAAATAATGAAGGATATCAAATGAGAAGGACACACCAAGTTTTCTGATATATTTCGAAAACTAAAATCTCTCTTTTGTAATTCTTTGTTTAAATAAAATTTCCTTTCAATTCAATTTTTTTTCACTTCAATTCAATTCAATTTTGTAATTCTTTGATTTTATTATTATTCTTATTCTAATGATTTTTTAAGTAAAATATCCTGGTTCTATACTGGTATCAGAGCCATATGGTTCTGATTGCCCCAATCCATTAATAATTGCATTATTATTTGCTGCATTAGGAGTAGGAATTATCGTTGGCAGAGTGTTGGCAAGCCAGTCCGTTAGTAAGCCTTGAGGTTGGTGTTTCCGGCATAACGTTCCCACTATCCCCGGTAAGAACTACTGTTATTGCATCATTTAGAAATGCACTAAATATGGCAGGAGCAATCAGACGCATATTATCTGGTTCTAGTAGTAGTAGTAATAAAAGAATAATTCAAAGTAAATATTTTGAGTCATGCTTAATTCTTGAAGATAAAATAAAAACTATATACCAAACAGGTCATTTTCAGATTAAAACTGGTTGCTCAATTAAGATTCATGAAGAAAAATTAAACATTCAAGAAAAATTTCAATCTATTTCATTAATGTCTCAAATATCTTTACATAGGTATTTAGAAAAAAGGTTTTCGATATATTCATTATGGTTTAATTCAAGTTGCAGTTAAACCTTTAGTTCATATTAGTGTAGATACTCCAATATTCATGGTATTAAGAGATAAAAGATTAACAAGATATAAAACTTCTCTACTTGCAACGATTCAAACTAATATATGTAATGGTCCCATATATTTCAATTGCGTGCCTAATTTTTCTGTTTCCTTAAAAGATTCATTAATACTAGATTCTTTAATTTTAGATATACATATTCAAGGAGATGAATTTGAAAATTAGCCAAACAATTCGTTGTTATGCATAGAATTTATTTTAAATTAATGACATATCATTTAAATCCTAAATTTAAAATGCCTACATCTGTTAAAGATGAAACGGTATTGTTACAAATAGATGCAGAACATTCAAAAGTTTTTGTACCTAAAAGATTAAAATAGAATGAGATAACAATTCCAGAAGAATTTAAGATAAATATTCCTCAAATTTCTAGAGATATAGAAAGAAGTAAAATATATGAAACTATAGATGATTCAAAAGAAAATGTTATAATTAGATTTGATTCATTACGGGAAGGATTGTCTAGATCTTCTATTTCTTCTTTTAACATTCCACTAGATGCTTCCCCCGGGCGAATGCCCGGGATGCTGCCTATATTTTTAAATCGATTAAATAAAAAATACGAATCATTCTTAAAAGAATAAAAAAAATAGAAGAATAAAAAATTGATTGAAAGGACAGAAAGTGAGTTATTACACATAAATCTATGCCCAGATTTATAACATTTAATTTACAACAGTTAACTTATGCCCGAGTTTCTATAAATCATAAACCAATATCTACAACAGAAGAATTTAAAAAAATCATCCTTAAAAAATCAAATTTCTTTCATGACATCTTATTTTTTCTCTGTTGTAGAAAGAGATGGATTGATATTTGATGTCAGATTTTAAGTAATTGATTTAAAGGCCCGGGTGTGAGAGAGAAGCGGAATGGAAGATATTCTTTGAAATTGGGGATTGAGAGAACATTATTGTGTTTCACTTGATTTAAGGGGATTTCCTTACATTTGATTTTATTAATTAAATATTGTTATTTTAAGAGATAGTATATACCTATAATTAAGAGATTTTTATGTTGCTATAATTAAGGGATTTATGTATTTATCTATTCCATCTTTTTTTCTGATTAGTTAGAGTGCCACCTGTCAAAAATGATTTTGTACTGAAAATGGCTTTTGGCGGAAAAATTTTCATTGTGGTACTAACACATGTCTTTTTTGTTTGCTGCTTTAATTAAGTACTATAGATTTGAATCAAGCAGACATTCATTTACTGAGAATTCAACTTCATGTAGGAATCCAGTAAAGGTATATTATAAAGCACCAATTTCAAAAATGGTGTCAGATCAAAACTTTTCTCCAGAGTATCCACCAACATCTAGTCAAATGAAAAGTGAAGTTCGTGAAATTTCTGTTATTATAACACAAAAAGAATTCCAACCAAATATAGTAGAATTAGAAAATGAATTTTTAGATTTTGAAAATTATGAATTGTTTTCAAAACTAAATAATTTTTGTAAAAATAAGATTAAACATGAATGGATAAGGATATGTATAAATATAAAACAGATTTAGATTTTGAAAACTGGTTTGAATTTTACTTATTAAAAAAATGATATTTCTGATTCAAATAAAATTTCCTACATAAATGTCCAAACAAATTTGTATAAAAAATGACATTTAAAGGACGGGAAAACAGTAAATTCAATTCATCCACCAGTGCAATCTATAAAGATTAATACTTCTGAAGGTAATATTATTGCTTCTCCTTTTAAATGAGGAAAAGATAGTAATAGTCCTGTAAATATAGAGGATATCAGAAAAATATATTATCAAAATAATTATTCTAATCAAATATTACATACTATAGCTCAACAAGTAGATTCATTATCAATAGAAATAAAGGGAATTTCAAAGAATCCCTTTTCTTCGAGTACTTCAATGTTTCCTCCTTCAAAAAATATTTCTGCTCCTCATTTCCAGCCAAGTAGCTTACCTAGAAAACAAGAAGAAAATTTAAAATTTAAAAATAATTCAGAAACTTTGTTAAATACATTAAATAGTACAATAAGTTCTTTAAATAAAACTATACATAATGCTAGTCCTTCTAAAATTAGTACTATAGATCGAATAGAAGAAGAATCTATAGATGATTCAAGTGAGTCTGATAATTCATTAGTAAATGAAATTAATGAAATAGAAGATGAATTTTTAGAAAATAAAAATGATAATAATATTAATAAGATAAAACATAAAAGATTTAATAAAAATAGATATTCAAATTGGAGAAAAGGTGAAACTAGAAACTATTACCCTAGACCAACTCCTCCCGGTATTCAATATGAAGAAAACAAAGTTTCATGCTAAAATTTATGATGGAAATTCTGTATATGAATAGAATATAGATGGGAAAAGTAAATATGAAATATTAAATACACTTTAAGAAATGGGAATGGCAAAAATAGCATATAAGGTTAAGGGAATAGACAAAAGAAAAGCTGCTAGTTTTTTAATTACATGATTTACGGGACAATTAAAGTACTGGTGGGATAATTCATTAACACTTTAAGATAAACTTGCTATTATAGAATATAAAATACAAGTAGAAGATGAGCATGGAATATTTCTGAACAATATGATTCAACTGATTTTCTAATTATTACAATTTCAATGCTTTTTATAGGAAACCCTAGAGAAGAATTAACTTCATCAAAAATATTTTAACTAACCTAAGATATCATACACTAAGTGATTTTAGGTGGTATAAAGATATGTTTCTAACACATGTATTAAAAAGACGAAACAGTAATGCTACATTTTGGAAAGAGAAATTTATTACTGGTTTACCAAATTCATTTTCACAATGAATAATTTCATATTTACAAAAAGAAATGGGAACCGAACAAATTGATTTTAATATTTTGACTTATGGACAATTATTCGCATTTATTAAAAAAAGAAGCCTTAGATGCATGTCAAGAATTAAAATTTCAAGCTAAATATAGAAGCAAAAGAAGAGAAATGAGTTCATTTTATGAGACTTTTGGAATCACTGGAATAAGAGCACCATCTAGCGAGAAAAAACAAAAATTTTTATCTAAAACATATAGAAGAAGGAAACATAATTATTCCAATAGAGAAGAATATTATAGGAATAATAAGAATAGAAATAAGAAAAAGTTTAAAAAAATATTACATGTTATAAATGTGAACAAAAAGGACATATGGCTAATAAATGTAAAAATAGAGTTAATGAAATTATAGACAATATATCTGACATAGAATTAAAACAAAAATTAAAAGAAAAATTATAGAGTTATTCTCAGACTAATAAGATTAGTGATAATGATTATGAAGAGTTTTACAATAGTTCAAGTGATTCTGATGAAAAATCAGAATGCGAGTGTAAAACAATTAGTATGATAAAAACTGTTAATGATAAAATAAAACAAAAAGACGCTAAAGAATTAATATTTGATATGATTCAACAAATCCCTGATTTAGAAAAACAAAAGAAACAATTTGAAAAATTAAGAGATCTAATTATGAATGAAGAAAAAGAAAAAATCAGTTTAATTCAACCTTTTAGTATCTCTAAACTCTTAGAAAAATATCCTACAATTTAAATTCCAATATTAGATCAGTAAATACTAGAGAATTATAAACAAAAGTAAATATAGTAAAAGCAGAAATTAGAATATTAAAAGAGAAAATGATGGGAATAGAAACAAAAAAATTTAACATTGGAAACTCAAGTAGCAGTAATTCAAAGTAGTATTACAAAAAGAAAAGAAATAGATATTTCTTCAGAAAATTTAAGTACGCCTTTAC